TGTTGCCCCGTACCGGACCGGGGACCGGAAACGGGATCGCAACCCTCAGGGTCGCTCCCGCGCCTCACTCAGCCAGTGAGCGGGAACCAGTCCGTATGTGGGATCCGAACCCTCGGGCGGGAGCGCCGCTGCGCTTCCCAAGCGTCGCACTTATCCAGTGCGCCACCGGGCCGGCCCCGAAACCCTGAGTTTTTGTCAAATGAATGATCTTTTATTTTGTCTGAAATATTTTGAACCTGGGTAATTAATTTTTTGTGTCCAGTGTAAAACCTGGAACTCCTCCCTGACTCAGTCCTTTTTAATATTATCTTATTAAATTCTGCTGGAATATCAAGGTCATCTTAGATTCTGATACTTCTCATCCAATAAAATTCCTATTGAGACCCAGTCTCACCAAGCCAAAGCAACACAGGAATATATCTATATATATAAAAAAGTGAATAGAAATATATGTAATATACAATCCTTAAATAACTTTTAAATTACCAAAAAAGCAGCTTACAAATAATATTTTTATAAAAGATATTTTCTTATTGAATTTAGAATAATTTAAATATATATCCCAATAAAAATCATTGTACAAAAATTTGGACTTTCACATTTATTAAGTGAATTATTTCAATATAAATGACTCATTATGAGGAAGATAAGATAACCATAAAAAGAATAAAAAGAAAAAGGAATGGAGTGCTGTTTCAGCATAGACAATATTTCCATCATAAGCTCAGTGTCAAGAGGTATCCTTCGTGGTGTTGACGTCATCCTAAAAATTAGATCCTTGTCAGCCCTTAGAGAGAGAATTCCTTAGTTCACGATTTATCATTCATCATTTTCTCTAGCATATTTGGGAGAAAGCCAAACATTTTATCCTTATTCCCAGAATATATTATAAAAAGGTAAGGATTACTGACAACTACTTTTTCAGGTAAATGCTTCATACATGCGAATGTCCAGTGACTATTCTAACTTTAGATACTTAAAAAAAAAAAAAAAAAGACAACACTAATTGAAATGATATCCAAGTTTTGGATAGATATCTGGCATTTCATATCCTATTTTCATTGGATATCTGACATAGTCCTGAGAGAAGATAGTTAGATTTAAAAAACAAACAAACTCGCTTATAGACTTTAATGGTTTATTTATCAAAGAATCTCATAATATAAAATTAATAGCAACCTCCTAAAAGTATAGATGGGTCTTCAAATACTTGACAGTAGCCATTTGCATTTATTTATCAGAAAGGAAAAATATATTTACAAAAAAATTCCAGTGTCATGACCCAATTTATCATAATTTTTCAGTCTTTCCAACTTCTATATTCTGTCCTTTGCCTAATTAGTAATAGATAAGTTCACCAAAATTCAATATATTTTCCATTAAAATAAATCCCTTAAGACAAAATATTTCCTGGAAATTCATTCTGCTTTTACCAGAAATTTATTTTAAAAGGATACCTACAGTGCATACTTAATAAATTGCATAACTTAAATATTAATTTTACATCATAAACACCAGAATATGTATTAAATTTTAATTAAAATCAGATTTTTATCCTTGAATTTAAAATGAATGATGCATGTATTATGGATTAAAAATCTGTTAAAACAATTAGGTATGGCTTTAAAGGAGAAAAATTGTAATGAGAAAATCTCATGAAAATATCTAAAAATTGAGCTTAATTTTGCGTTAGCTGACATTTCTTTTTCAAAACTTTAGTCTTTTCTAGAGAAATCTCTTCTAGAACCATTTTTAAAAAGATTAAAAGTGGAATGTTTGGGAAATGTTGCTTTTTCAGAATATTCTGTTTAATATGATGTAGACAAATCATCACTTTCTAAAATTAAGTATTTTCTTAAAAACAACAGATATGGGCAAATTAGTTGTTAGTCAGAAGGCACAGTAAGCCCAAAGGAAGAATAACTAGGTGAGAAATATATTTACAATATAATTTGGGAAAATGACATCTATGAAAAAATTAGTTCATTCAAATTCTTAGTAGATCTTTAGGAAAACTTCGTAAGTAAATAACTATAAAAAATTTCGTAGTCTTTAAGAGATAGCTAATTCTGTATTGATTGACATAATCTATTCAAGCTTGCTCTGGTTATCTCTCCATATTTGCAAAAATTCCTTCCTTCCTTCTAATTTCAATTAGTGAGATCTTTTCTCACCCCCTCACTCAAGCTACAACCATCTCTTTTCTCTGAGCTTTTTCATATGATTTTTCTTATGATTTTTTTCTTTGCTTTACATATCTTTCCTCACCCTTAAAGGCCATGGTGAAATGTCTCCACACTAGTCAAGCCTCTTTTTTTCCTGTCAGAAAAAAATGTAAGATCTCTTCTGTGTGCTTTCAGATTGTTTAATGCATATTTGGCTTATTTAGTTGTTGAAGAATATAACTTTTCACCTGATTTATGATCTCAGTAAATGTTGGGATGGTTTTGTTGAAATATTCTGTTCTATGTTAAACAGATGTTTCTCCTCTTCAAAGAATAATATAAAACTTCAACTTTACTCATACATCTTTTTTTTTTTTTTTTTTTTTTTTTTTTTTTTTTAAAAAACATAAACTTGACCTTCTAGACAAGGCTCTTCAAGTTTTTCACTAAATCTGTCTTTTGCTTCCTCACATTTACACTCTGTTAATCTCACACTACCCAGCTGTAGTTTCCTTGAACTCTCGCACTCCCCTCCCATCCTCCTTTGTGTTTGTCTTGAAGTCCTGCTACTTTTTCAGCCGAAGAACCTGGCCATCCCTAATCCATCTAGGTTCAGATGAATTAGATTTATCAAATCCCAGTCGTGTAAATAATTTGAAAATCATGGATTTACATTATTCCATGCCCTGAAAGATTAATAGATGCATTGTCTGACTGTAGTGATACATCTTTAAAAACACTTCCAGATGACAAATATCTTAGGGTAAACTGGAAGACATTAATGTAAAGACCCAATTCAACTACATTTTTAGCTTCCACATTATCTATTTTGAAATATTTGGCTTTGAATTTCCCCATTTTCAAGGTTTTGAAATGGTGAAAATTATATATATTTTCCCCACATTCCCTACTCCATGAGGAATATTATATATATTTCCCCCACATTCCCTACTTTTCTTTAGGGTTTCCTGTGATTTTCCTCCTTGCTGCTCATGCTCATGCTGTTCCTTCTTCCATGACATACATTCCTACATTTCTCCTTAGTAACCCTCTCCAATCTCCCGAAGCCTGAGGAGCACCTCTGTGCCACCTGTACTCTATAACCAGCATGAAGACTCAATGGTTCTCTTTGAGAATGCTTATGGCATTGTACTATTATATTTCTAATGGTACAAAAATTTTCTGCCTTCTGAGTTATTCATACATGTCTTTTCTTCCTTAGCAGGCTGTAAGTGTATGAAGCAGCATTCTAGCACACAAATTTGGCAAGAGAGTCAGTGTTATTTGGCATCTGGAAACAAGGAAAATTGTTAGGATACTATTCAAGGGAATTATTTCAGTCTATAAAAGGAACTAAAATTTTTATATAGTTTCAGGCTATTAATGCCATGTGATTGCTGAAGATAACACCCTGAAGCCAGAAGACTAGGATTTGAGTTTTAATTTAGTTGTTTATTTCTTAAGTAAGTAATCATGAACATGTAACCATCTTGGCCTTTGTTTTTTCATCTGTTAGCTTCCCACCTCACTTTCCCAATATCCGTATTCTTAGCTTTACTTTTTCCAGTGGTGCTTATCGAAATCCTATATGTTTTAAGTATTTTTTTTATCATCTGTCACCTACTAAAATATAATCCATGAGGAATATATACATATATATGAGGAATATAAACTCCATGATATAATAATAATAATAATAATAATAATATCCCTCATGGAGTTTATATTCCAGTAGATATCTATATCTGTAGATTAGATAGATTGATCAACCTATACTGTTTTGTTCTGACACAGTACAAATTAAATATAAATTCGATAAATGAGTAAATGGACAAATAAGCCTTGGAACTCCAGGAAAAGAGTTTAAAAACCTCCTCTATGTATTCCCCAAGCTTTTCTTAGGATTGTTGGATCACCAGAGAGCAATATACCCTTTTATCTCAGCTCCCTGAAGAAATGCCTTTACTGAAATATGATTAAATGTTATGCCCTCGGCTTTTAGAGAAATGTCTATTTGAACAGCGATTTCGTCTTTTGTTATTCCATGACCCCAATTTAAGAACCTTTGCAATAAATTCGTCCTTGAATTCAATGCCAGAAAGTTTGTCTCTTAAATCTAAATCATGTTCTTCTGGTCAGAAAATGAGAATGAAACACACCAAGCAATCTCCCTTTGTGACTTAGTTTCCTTGACATTCAATTCAATTCAGTTCAGTGCTTGTGGCAGTAATTATCTAGGCTCAAGTATTTTGTTATATACGTTGTTCTACTAGTTTTAGATTCTGTCACTGAATTGTGCCATATCATACCGTAATTAATTTTACAGGCTTCTTAAAACCACTTTGGAAATAGGCAAGTTATAATATCAGGTTAATAAACCAGTTTACCGACATTGTTGTGCATGTACAGTTTCCAACTAGAAGAGGAATTATTTTATCTTCAGTTAAAAGAGGTAAGGGCAATTTCAGACATCATGATATCTTTTGAGATAATCTTATAATTTTGGCAATGTCATTTTAAGGATAATGCACACACAGTCATAAAATTCCTTGTGTTATGGAGGTGTATTTTTTAAATATTCAGGCATTATAAATTAACATACCTGTGTATTTTTTTCTAGCTTCTATGAGAAAATTTACTTACAAATATTATGAGTTAAAGGAAATGTGGTGGGAGGGGCAAAAAATTCTATTAATTTTGATTTCTTAAAGATATTGAGTCTTAAATACTAACCCCATTTCCAGCAATATGCCTGGCATATGCCCAGTGTTGAATGTGGTTTATCTTATGTTTTTTAAGAGAAAAAGAGAGAAATGTAAAGGCAGGTAACATTTCTTGATTGCCCACTCCATGTTGATCTCACCCTTCATGATGATCGTACAAGGTAGTTATTATCATTCCCACTTTTAAAATGATGGATTTGAGGTTCAGAAAAGGTTAAATTTGTTCGAGATTACACAGCTCTTAAGAGACACAGCCTGGATTCACACTCAAGATTACTGGGTTCCAATGCTGATCTTCTTTCTCACCCAGCTGCCCTGAAAGGACCGTAATTCTACAAGTATTTGCTGGGTTCTTATGTTACATAGTGAAGAGGCAAATTATACAAAAAAAAAGATAAAATTTATGAGCTCAAAAGGAATGTGTTAGCTGTTTGACAGGAGTGGAAAGTATTCTCTTTTGTGGGCAGAGGGAATTTATGAAATAGGAGAATAAATTAGAATACAGTTTGCTAATTATACCAGCAATTATAGGAATATTAGCATTTCTCTTTTAATTTAATTGGACTGTTCATTCAGTTTTTTTTAACTTTTGAAACTGACAAAATTTGGAAATACATGCTCATTTTGTAAAGCTAATGATGTACTTTACAGTACATCATTAGGCAAAATTGAAGCCATCTCTACAGATACAAATAGAAACAGATTCTGAAAATGTCTAAAAGTTTTTAGATCATGAATCTCTGAGAATTGGATGAGAACTCTGGACACTTGCCCATATTATGCATATAAGCAGTTTTTACAAAATTTTTCACACAATTTCAGAGGTTTCACCTGTCTCTGACATTCATCCAAAGAGGTTAAGGCTACTGGACTAAGAGCAGAGAATTAACTCAACTGGTCAGCATAGGGAAAGTGATCAGACTTTCTCTAGGCAGCATGAATCTTTTTAATACATCTGCCTTTGTGAACTAAATTGTTTCTTTATTTTTAGTATTCCTTCTTCCACACCACAAAATTCTTCAGGTTCATTTGAAAGCTTTTGATGTAACATAAATAACTTCAACGACAGCATCCCCAGATGCCAACTAGTTCTTGTTACTTCAAAATTATACAGGATTGTGTCTTGTCTCATAGACACTGTAACCAGAACCCCCTTACTTTGTAGAGTCCTGACATCTTTTTTAGGCATCCTTCTTGGGTGTCTCAGCCTACAGCCATGGTCTGTAACTGGGACTTTGGATCACACATTTGTGAAAATTCTTGTCAGAGTACAATTTTTTCAACCGCATAATGATTTGCTCCTAGAATATTCTAACTCTCTCTTACACAACTGTTTCTCTTTCTTAACATTTGGTATTCTTTTAATAGTTCCAAAAATAAAGTAAGACAGTCAAAAGTAAAATAATAGACTGCCTAAAAGAACTGTGTGTGTGTATGTTTGTGCATGTGTGTGTGTTCCAATACAAATTAATCTAATCATAAGTCAAGTTAAAATGCAAAAAGAAAGAAAAGGTATTATCTTATTGTTCTCATTTAGTATAGAACAAATGCTCTGTAGTGCTATTTTTAAGGAGCTGCATCTCAGGTATTATTTAAGAATCCTATGCAACTTGCTGTCTTCTTTCAAGCCCCAGTGGCAATTTCTGAACATACCTTTTGTTCCGCTGTCATGGTTAGACTTTGCAACCGGCCAGTCATATTCCCTAAACTCTTTTCAAAAGCAGCTACAAGGTGAGCCTGTGAACAAAATGGAAGAAACATAGCTTAAATGTCAGAATCCCATGTGGAGGACTGAAAACTCTTCATCTTATAAAATGCTTAATTTCAGGTGTTCTAACTTAAAATACTATGACCACCATGGTTAGCTCTCAATGGTGACTCTTCTTAAACACAAATATTCATTTATTATTTCTAAACTTTGGGTTCTTAAAATCAATGTTCCAGTCTCTTGACATTTAATGTGAGTTCAACTTTGAAAAAGGATAGTATTTTGCAAATAATAACACCTTCTGACTTGTACATCATGGAGAGATTTGACACCCAAAATACTGAATAAGTTTCTGAGCTGCCAAGATTTTAGATTTAAAGCCCAAAAGGAGGTCACTGAAATAGACAATGGACAAATGTTCCTCATTTTTATACTTCCATGATGACCTTTGAAGATATTGTTAGCTCTTCTATTGTACTGATACTCTCCTTCAAGTGTCAGACATCGACTGACAGCTATAACATTCTTTCCTCTTTTTCTTTTTCAAAGAATTCAACCAAAAAGAGTTGTCTTCACTTTCCAAACTCTTTTCAATAAAAGGGCTTTTCTCCCTACTTTATATTCCCTTAAACTAAGGAAGTATAGCTAGAACAGCTAGAAATAATATTCAGTCATATTTTATTTAACATAAGCTTTTGTGGCTTTGGGGTTTTAAATTTTGAGAATTATATATTGCAGTACATAACTATAACTCTTATGATTAAGAAGTATTTGACGATCTTATTACAACTCTAAATTAGGCCAGATTCTACTGACTTGCCATTATGCAAGAGCTTGAAACCAGAATACTAAGCATAAAGAGGTGCTTCAATCTCTCACCATAGCTTAGGTAGATACATTATTTCGAGCTGATATAATCATTTTGTGCCCCTAAAAAAAGTAAGGATTGAGTATTTTACAATCTAAATCTATAATAAACTATATATGGGGCATAAGTTGGCAATCCTTGGCAATAGATTGATTCGTTTAAGGGAAGGGAATGAAAGAACTCAAAATACATCTCCTTCTAGCTGTAGCAGAGCTGAAATGCTGAGACATCTATTATCAAACAGATCACAAGAGTCCTAAGAATTAGGACTTTGCGACTTTATTCCATTATTGGTTAACAGCTATAATGTACAAGTCCCTTCCATTAGCATCATGATACCAAGGTGTCTTTGCTCCTAACTCTGAACTCATCCTGGGGTGCCTTTCTTTACCTGACACTGCAATATGGAGAAAAATAATTTGTAGAGGATACTTCTATCAAATTTAACCTATCAGCACAACTATTTATTCTCTCTCTCACCCCTGTATACTTTCTCTCCCCCCACCCTTTTCCTTTCACACACTCAGATACATCCCCTTGAGAATTATACACCTGCCAAGAAATATTTTATTCAGTCCCTATAATTGGATAAATAACACTGTAAAAAAAAGGAAGTAGTATTTTATAGTTTAAAATATTTTCACTGACAAGGAATGTCATGACATATGACTTTGCACCCTCAGAAATAGTTAAGGCTATGTTCCAATTTCTCTTATACATTAACTTTTTTTTTTAACCTGTGAAAAAAACATACATACATGAAAGATAGAAAAATGAAAAGGTACGGCTCACTGATTTATCACATAGTGAACATTCATGCTCTCACCAGCCAAGTCAAGAAATAGGACATTTCAAGAATCTAGAAGCCCTCCCCTTGATCCTCTTTCATCATTGTTTCCTCTCCCTTACCAGTAGATAACCACTATTGTAACTTCTGTAATTATTTCCTTGCTTTTTAAAATACTTTTTACACCTAAGCCTGCATTCCTAAATTCCTATGTTTTAATTTTGCCTATTTTAAAAACCTTCCAAGTGTAATCACAAGGCATGATTTTTTTGTGACTGTTTTCTTTTGCTTAACATTGTTTTTGAGATTCATCTTTGTGGTATGTAGCAGGAGTTAGTTTTTGCTGTAAAGCATTCCTGTATGTGAATCTATAATATATTGCTCATGATGGTCATTTGTGCTGATTCCAGTTTAGGCTATTAGAAATAATCTCACTCTAACCATAAAATGGATTACTAAAACCTAAAACTAAAATTGCTTGTTTTCTTTTAAAATAAGGAAAATCCTAACAGAAAACCTCTATTAATATTTACTAAATGAAATGTAAGGGTCTACTCAATATTGCAAAATTTTAATTTTCCCAAAGTGGAGAAATGTAAGGTTTAATTATTGGACTGTGAGTCCTTAAATACATAAACTTGGAGTAAATTACTTCACTTTACCCTTTGTGCTTATTTTACCAGCTTAATAGGAATTAAAAATATGGTAGAGAAATCAGGATTGTAAAGAATTCACCATATAAACTGTATTGCTTACATTTTATATCTATAATAACTACAATATATTTCCCATTAGAATATCAGTTTCTAATCTCTGTAAAGATGCATTTTATTAAAAGTTTTAACTTGTTGCTAAATAACATTTTAATTTGAGGCATGTTGTTTTCAATAAAAAGTATGTTAAAATTATGTTAGCAAAATATTGCTTTTAATTTATGTCACCTTTGCTTAGTTTATCAGATTAACTTTGTTACTTTGGAAGTAATAAAAGTTTAAATTTCTCTCCCAATGGGGTAAATGAAGAAGGAGAAAAAGAGGAAAATAAGGGGAAATTTTTTTACCAATAATAATCTTTATCGCCTTAATGGAGAGAAAATAGAAAGTAAAACTGATTGAACTGTAAGACAAAGTATCTTGTCTGAAAAACTATGAGTTTCTAAAAAATTATGGGTTTTCAGGGAGATTGTTATTCACTGTTTACCTCGTTCTGATTTTTCTTTTAGCAGATGCATAATTTTCAAGCTAAAGTAAAACTGAATTAATGTGATGATGAATATTCCCTGACTTGTGTTAGATGAAGTCCGTCAAGGTAATAAAATAGACAAGACTAACTATTAGTTAAGAGGAGATATTTTTAATACATACTGTTTTATTGTGGTGCTAAACAATAAGATGAAATATCATATAAAATGCCCCCCCCCAAAAAAAAATTCCTACATTGTATTTGTTCCCATAAAATGAGTGACGGTCCATCAACCAAGTAAAAAATATTCTATGCATATATTTATATATCAATATGAGATGTATATCATAAAACTTTACATTTGAAGATTAGTAAATTGAACTAAGAATGATTCTGAAATACAGGTAAAATTCACATTTCTTTCACACCGTATAAAATCGTTCGTTTGTGTTTGTCATTGTTAACACGCGCGAAATAGTTTTTCTTTTAGAGGTGATGGAGAAAAGCAAGAGTGAGTGCAAACTATAAAAAAATATTAAATAGAACAAGAAGTAAGACACAATTTTAAATAAAATAATAACCAGGAGATTTTCAGTAAAAAGACTTAACTGCTGAAAGACAAAAAAATAAAAATACCTTTTTTATTGTTACATATTTATTCAGTAATGTCTTTGAAAAATTTTAATAATGACTAGCCTTAGTGCCTATTTCCAAATTATCTAAGGATTGAAATTTATAAAGAAACTATATTAAAAAGCAAACAAGTGCATCGCACCTGACTTGGCTGCATAAAGTTGTGGGCGAGAGGCCTGAGGATACTTGGCTTATTGTACGATGTAACCGTGAATCTGCAGTTGCCTTTCCTTGTGGGGCTCCCGTTTTCTTGCTGTTTGTTCATGGGGTATTGATTCAGGGAATACCAGGCAATGGCACTTGCCAATATACCCTCTCTTATTTCTAAAGACATACCAGTAATACCAACTTTACAAACAGTTTCTCTGTGGTTTTATACAGCTTTGTTTAGAGCAACTACCTTTCGAGGGAGGGAAGGCTTAATATACATTCTACTGAACGGAGGCTCTACTCTGTCTATCAAATGAAAGGTGAGCTGACCTGATACCTTTCTGACTTGCCATTGTCCCTCTTAACAATGAGGAAAGAAAGCATTTTAGTAGAGAAGCAGATATGTTTCAAATTTTAAAAAAGTAAAACATAGATTATTGTGTGGACTCTATATAAATATATTCATACCAGATTCAAACATGTTATATATTAATTAACAATACCACAAATTAAGAAAAATCATTTACATCCTGATAGATTAATTCACATGATTAGTAAAAATGAATAGCCGGATATTTAAAATGATTACTAAATATTTTTTTAAAAAACAGTTAATGATATTTTTCATAGAACCAAATTTATTGAAATTTGTCCTTATAAATTGTACAGTTATTACATTTCTATACAATAATACTTATTGTGCAGATCACACTCCTATTTAACCAGAAGGTAGAAAGTTTACTTGTAGTCTGAACAAACTAATAAATAAAGACTTATCACTACTTCTAAATAAGAATTGCATGTTTTTAAAAAAACCTTGACCTTGACTTACATTGAATGAATTATAATTTTATTTAGAAATATTTTATTCAGTCCCTATAATAAATTTTTATTTAGAAATAATTTTATTCAGTCCCTATGATCAATTTATATGTATAGGTTAAAAATATACATATATATTATATACATCAACAGATATTAACTCAGATGAAATAAAATGAAACAAACTCTGAATGAAATTTAAATACAACATTTCTTAGAACTAAGTAAGAATCAAGTATTCATGAGATCTTTTGATGGCTCATTATGGTCTACAAAATCTAAAGTGACATTATAAACCAAGCACTAAAGAGAATGAATGAGTTCAAGGTGATTTGTAGTTAATAAGTGATTTAGGAATAATTCAAATTCTTGAATATGTAAAGGAGAGATTATTCCCTTATGCACATAAATATACAAGACTCCATCCCTTGTAGTTATAATGATACTATTAAAAAATGTTTAAAGTAGAAGTGACATTAAATTTGTTTTATGATCATTTATACATGTATTCATTTATATAAATTCTTAGATACTGTAATATTTAGTCTAAAAGTGAATTTTAATAAACTGCTTTAGTTAACAAAGTTAACAAGGTAGAAGATAATACATATCTTTATTACCTGAACACATCTTTAACTTTCATCTTTTTACATTTTCAGCGAATAAATTTATCTAATAGTAAAAAGTTTTAACAATCCATGTCATCACCAAATAAAGGAACAGTAAATAGTGGAATCAGGTTGAAACCCTTAGGAAACCAAAAAATAAACATCTTTTCAAAAAATTGTGGTAGATCTTTAGGTGCTTTATTTTTTAATGTGAAATAATTATATATTCACAAGAAGTTGCAAAGATAGTACACAGAGGTCCCTTCGTCCAGTTTCCCCTAATTACATCTTACATCAGTATGTCATAATATCAAAACCAGGAATTCAATACTGGTATACATATATAGATTCACATATGTAGATTCATTTAATGACCACTTCAATGAATATACAAAACTATTCCATCAGCATGAAGATCTCCTTTTTGCTATCCCTTTATAGGCACATTACCCCTCTCTACCATCCCTAAGCCCTAGCAATTACTAAACTGTTCTTCATTTCTATAATTTTGACATTTCTGGAATGTTATGGAAATGGCCCTTTTGAAATTGGTCACATTTGAAAATTTTCACTCAGCATAACGCCCTCAACATCCGTCAAGTTATAGCATGTATTAATAGTTCATTTGTTTGTATTGCTGAGTATATTCCATGGTACAGATATATCAGAGTTTGTTTAGCCATTAACCTATTAAGGGATATTTTGGTGGTTTCCTGGTTTTTTGGCTATTAAAACATTGTACCCACCAAGTACAGGTTTTTGTGTGGATCTGAGGTGATTTGACAAGATTTCTAAAGTACATTACAAAGTTAAAAAAAAGGAGCATGAGAAATAGGATATATATTAGACTCCCATCTGTGAGCAAAAAGTACTACGAATGGTAGCTTAGATATAGCTGGCAGGGAGAGGGGTTGCTAGAGAAATTTGGGAATTTTTTCCAAGACTAACACTTTTTAAACTAACACAAAGACTAGCACAAAATCATGTATTTGGCACTGCTTCCTATAATTCTGTGTTTCTTACTTTTATTTTTTTAATTTTCATCACTTACGGAGACATTGCAGACTTTTTTTTTTTTTCCATTTCTCTTCCATTTCCAAATAATGGCAAAGCTGACCCCAGTACTGTTCCCCTGTGTTAGAATTTGGTTCCTCCTGTGTGTGTATGTGTGTAGTATATAAGCCTTTGCAAGTGTGCATTGTATATATGTATACATGGACATATGATAGAAAAATGTTGAAAAGATACACACACAAAAAAATAACCATGAGTTGGAATGAGTGTTTCAGAGGGAAAAACAAACAAACATTTCTTATTAAACAGTTTTTTAGTTTCGCTTTTTCTTTTTAATACAACAGCACTTATTACTTTTAAAATGGAAAGTTTTTTTAATTACTGTGTATCAGTCCATATTCCATTATGACTAGCAAGCATTTATTATTTCAATATCTGAATTAAATGATGAGGCCAACTAAGAGACATTTACAAAATAAAACAAAGCCTTGAGTAATCGTTCAAGACATCTGTAATGACAACCTAATGAACAGGATCTGTCATTTAGCCTTCCTTATTACAGATAAACACAACCCAGTGTGTTTCTGGCATTTACACTGTTCTATGTCCTCCGGGTACAAAGTCAGGAACCTAAATAGGCGTGTTTTATACTACTACATGTGTAGCCTATATTATAAGATTTACAGTTGCCTCTGAACTACCTCTTTAAGAGTTACTCTTAGAAATAAAATTTAGGTTAAATACTACTGCTATTTCGTGTTTTATACTACTACATGTGTAGCCTATATTATAAAATTTACAGTTGCCTTTGAACTACCTCTTTAAGAGTTACTCTTAGAAATAAAATTTAGGTTAAATACTACTGCTATTTTCCAGTATTGCCTAAACAATTCTCTAAACCCTGCTATTATTTTTAGGAATCCCCTAACAACATCTATAAAAAAATATAATCAATCCAAAATTCGTTTGATTCTCCCAAAGTTGAAACCATAAAAAATCAATTCAAATACAGTGCTAAAATGAATACTTTGTGAGTAAAACGATTTACATTCTGTGGAATTTATACTACACAAAGATTTCATTCATAAAATGTCTCTTATTCAAGTCAAACACTGTGGGCCTGTACCTGCACACTCTTGATATGTCAGACTTTGTCTTGGAAATAGAAAAAGTCAATGGAGGAGCAGAGAGGTGGCGCTGGTGAGGCAGGGAGCAGACTCACAGCTACACAGCAGAACTGAGCACAGGAACGGGGAGGGAGGTGGCAGGACATATGGAAAAGCAGCAGGCGTTTCCTTACCCCTCACTGTTGCTTCTTACACTATTATTGCTTAGAACTGGGCACAATGCCGCAAGCTCTGCATCTACTCTGAGTGCTCCCTGGCACATTGAGAGATATTCAATAAATGTTAATATAATGGATGGTCTTCAATGTCATCCTTTTTGCCAACCTGGGCTGCTCTGGCAACAGTACAAGTGTATCCTTCTAAACTACTATGAGCAGGCTGCCAAGGTTTTCTGAGAACAATGTCTCATCTGCAGTGTACCTAAGTTATCTATATTTGGGCCTAAGTTTATCTTTTAGAATTAATTGGATGCTTAATTAATTGTTCAACAATGACCTAAAGTAGGCAGGACACATGAGTATTTTCTCTTCCAAAACCACACTCTAACAACACCTACTTTATCGTGGCTTGAGAGAGACTTACACGAGGTTGCTTCAAAAAGTCTGTGGAAAAATAGAATTAAAAGATAATACAAATCTTTCCATGAGCTCTTTGAAGTACCTTTGTATATGAGGAGAGATAAAAATAAGAAACAAGAAAAAGAAGCAACCTTTACAGCTAATACTATTGTTTCCAAGTTTATGAGAAACTAGAAGCCATTTAACCACACTGTGATTTCACATCTATTCATGTAGACATTTTATTACTGAGTATGCAGAAAAGTTTAACTTTATATGAATCCCACTATTCAGTGACTTAAGTCTATGTAATTTTGGACACAAAGTTTGTAAGTGTGTTACTAAAATTATTCCATTTTACTAGATAAAAATCTGTTGTAACATTAAAGAGATCAAAAGTGACTTACATTTGCTGAAAGTTGAGAGGTGAGGGTAGCAACTTTTTCCTGTGATGCAACCAGCTCTCTCCGCAGCTTATGGATTTGCTGAATGTGATTTAATAAAAATCAGTTCAATAAGCTAGTAGGATTTTAATTAAAACTACGAATTCAACCCAAGAAAGCAAAATCTGTTTTAGCTCAGTCTACCTGTCCCCACTGAATCAGCACCAATTCCTGAAAATAAAGGAGATGTGAACATTGGACACACAGTAACAATCAAATGCCAGTCATAAGAAAGGGTCTAACTTCATAGTTGGGACTCAATTCTGCAAATGCAAGGATGATCTCTGTCCCCTCTGCCGCCCCTGCGTGACTCAATCCCTGATATAAAATGACACACTATTAGAATATAACCTACGCACATCCTCCTGTATACTTTAAATTATCTCTATATTACTTATAATACTGAATACAATATAAATGCTATGCAAATAATTGTTATACTGTTATGTTTGGAGAATGACAAGAAAAAAAAGTCTGTACATATTCAGTACAGGGACAATTTTATTTTATTTTTTCAAATATTTTTGATCCACAGTTGGTTGAATCCACAGATGCAGAACCCATGAGTATAGAGGGCTGACAGTACATATTTTTTCTTGGTCATTTATTTTTTTAGCTAAAAATGCTCTATGTTATTTTTCTGTAAATCTCAGGGCTATATTTCTTGCGTACATTTTAATTTTCTATAGTTTGGAAACTTTTCAGAAGCTGGAGAATATCCTGCAGTCACTAGAAGTTGCGTTTGATTCAACATTTAATGAGTCCATATTTGAAAATAAAGCTACTGACTAGAGTTTTAATGACTAACAGAAGCCTTCTCAAATCTTTATTATAATGCCTTTTATTCAGTGAGTTACTATTATCTCAAAGTAGAAATGCTTTATAAATTATCCATACTTTAAAAATAAGGGAAAATATCAATAACATTATGCAACTAACTAGGTAAACCAAAAAAATAAATATTCTAAATTGTCCTCATTTTTAGTTAGCACTTCAGTAAAACTGAAACAGGAAAAGGCAATAGTATATCATATCGTATTCAAAATTATAATTTACGCACTTTCTACGGTTTAATCTGCCTGTCTTCTGTTACCATGAAATGTAAACAGTGATTAATAAGGTAAACATTTATAACTATCTGAGACTAGATTCTACAAGTGTATTTCTGGCCTCCAGAAATAGTCAGTTAGATGCCAAACATTCTATTCTGATGCTTCTCATTTCTTTTCACTTGTTATAGTTGGACTTGTGGAATGCTGTCTCAGTTTGAAAGAGCATTCTTGACATAGTTCATTAACTGTCCTTTTTTTCCCCCCTGCACATTAGATTTTGTGGAAAAGAAATGGTGGTTGTTACTGAGAGACTCTTAAAAAAAAAAAAGAGAGAGAACTCTAAGCTGGAACCAAAGATAGATATTTATATAATTTCGCCAAATGTGATTCCATTTCATACCTGTTTTTTTAAAAAGAGATACACTCCAGCCAAAAATATCACTTGAGTTACATTTGTATGATGATGACCATAAATAGTTCCAGAAAGCAGAGTATCTATTTTATATTTAAACCAATACAAAGTCAAACATCCTTTTGCCAATTAATGGTCTCTATTACATGATTCCAGCTCCTTTAAAATATAATCCAGGTAACCATAAAGTGATTTAAATTTTTTATTTCAAAAACCATGACCCATTACAGGACATAAATTATAAAAGGAGAGTTGGACAACTACTTATAAGGCAATTAGATGTAGCATTTCTATACCTCAGTATGATCAATGTTAGAAGTTTTGCCATGTTTGTATGATATAAATAAAAGAGTTCAGGTTTTGAAAACCTATATTCACTCTTTGGTCGAGCAATTGTACAGATAAATTGGTATAATTAATACTTTTTCGATATTTTTAAACACAGCACAAACTTTACTTTAAAAGGCTAATGATTCCATGCCTCTGGATGGAGAGGGAAAAAAGCTAATGAAACAAGACTTCAAAGTAAAGGAGATCTTCTGCAAAAGCTGTCGCCAAGGCATTTATTTTTTCTGTGGTCTGATTGCTTCAGTGTAAACTAATCAAATAGTCATTACCTCCCCTTGAATAAAGTCTTAATTAAAGTCCTTCTGCTCTTCTTGGCCAGGACAACTCTTTTACAAAGGGAGAGAAAAAGAATATTCTCTCCAGGTTGCACTTGGATTTGTAAATGATTGCAACAAAGTATGTATTTGTGAAATGTGTATGATTAGAACAATATACTAAGCTAGACATAAAATAGTGATTTGAGGAGCAAGGTCATGGCACAAAGTAGACGGGTTGGGATGCTGACATCTTGTGTTGTGGAGGTCTCATGCCTAAGATTCACAGTTCCATTAATCCTGCACAGATGGTCTCACAGGTAGTGGGGAAAAGACTGTTTAAGTCCTCAGGCCATTCTATTTTACACATTCATTCATTCATCAATGATTTAACTAGTGCCTATTACTATAGACAACTTATTAGGCGTTCAGCTAAGAGTCCATCGAGAATGTGAGAGGTGAGTTTGCTCTAAAAATTCCTTTCATTTTCTTTTAAGAAGCAGTATCTAAGACCATTTATCAACCCTGGCTTACTTCTATCAGCAGTCCTGTAGTTATGGCACTGTATCACAGAGCCCTCTAGTGGTAACCGCAGTCATTTCATCATAAATGTAAAATAGTTAAATACTAAAATGTTGCAAGATTTTTACCTCTGAATGAGCCTTTTCTTCAGCCTGTAAAAGACAAAAGGAAAAAGAATTTAAACATAAAACTAATTTTAATTCATTTCATAAGCATAAATGAATAAAAGAATTATAATGTGTATTTAAAATATTTTTATGATCTAACATTAGAGTAAAATACATAAAATGATTCAATTAAAATAGTAAAAACAGGATACTTTAGGATTTAACATGAACACTCCTTTATATATAAATCATAAGGTATTTGCAAAATATAGGTAATTTGATCTATCGATATATAACATGCCTTAAAAGCAAAGGATAGAATTAAAAGACTCTAAGGATCAGACCATAAACAACCAAAACAAAATAGTCATAAAATTATACTCTAAAAAAGATGGGTGCATAAAAATTTGAAATATTGGAATTTTTAAATACATATTGCAGGAAATGGACTCCATGAAATTATAGAGATCTTTAGCCAAGATTTAGGACTTAGAATTTTATTTAATAATTTATGGATCATGCCAGCGAATGCCAAATAAAGCTGGGAGAAAATATTGACCTCTATGGATAACCACAGAAAATCAAGTTCATTAGTTTTTGTTTTCTTGTAATTTCCCTAATCATTAAAAGTTTACAGGGCGGCAAGTCACCAAAATACTAAAATGCCCAATGTTAAGGTGGTGATAAAAGTGGCTACAAACATCTCTGGCTATGCAACTTACGGAAATGATGACTGCTGTAGGAACTCACAAGGTGTTTTTGAGCTCAGTTGCAAAAAACTCCTAGCTTGTTTTTTCTTTTTCATATTGGGCTACAAAATGCCAGATAGTGAGTTATGTGTACCATTACATTTGGGAAGCTCCCTCATTCTGGAAAAAGCTGAAGAATGCATAGTATTGTTGAACAGTACAGGCCTGCTCATTGTTTTAAGCAGATCCAAAGCTGGAAAACAATCTCCTATCTCTAATTTTGGTATATTTCCTGATTATTTGATACAAAAGTACCTGAACTGCTTTTTATTTCCTTCCCTCTAAATAAAATAAAACAAATTAACTTAATTATCAGGATACATTTATGCACAAGCATCTCTTTTATTTTTTATTTATTTTTTTCAGATTTATTCAAATGTTTCAATGCCAGATACAAGAAATACCCAATTTGTATTCTTCCCCCCACAACCTCTCCCTGACCATCCCCCTACTCCTTATGTCCACCCCTGGCAACCCTGGGTATGTTCTTTCCTGCTGCAAGTCCAATGCACTACTGTGGTCTTTTTTTCTTTCCTTCTTTCTCTCTTAGTTCCCACTTATAAGTGAGAACACCCAGCATTTTTCCCTCTGTGCCTGGCTGATTTCACTTAACATAATTTTCTCTAAGCTCATTCATGTTGCTGCAAATGGCAGAATTTCTTTCTTTTTTTATGGTTAAGTAGTATTTCATAGTGTATATATACTACATTTTCCTTATCCAGTCATCTGTAGATGGACATTTAGGTTGGTTCCATACCTTGGTATTGTAAATATAGCTGCATTGAACATGGGAGTGCAGGTATCCCTCCAGCATGATGATTTGCATTCCTTTGGGTATATACCCAGGAGTGGGATTGCTGGATCATATGGCAGTTCTATCTGTAGTTATTTGAGAAAACTCCATACTGTTTTCCATAGTGGCTGTACTAATTTACAGTCCCACCAACAGCGTAGACAAGTTTCCTTTTCTCTGCATCCTTGTCAGCATTTGTTATTCTCAGTCTTCTTGATTATAGCCAATCTAACTGGGGTTAGATAGCATCTCTTGTAACCTGAGTTTTTTCTTTCCTATATTTTTCCTTACCTTTAAAAAATGCAAAGTTAGTAATATAGTGGTTAAATAATGAAGTAGCTAACTGGTAGAATCCTAATGGCCTTTATAAGAAAACTGTGTTTTAAAAAGCAATGTTGACATAAATCTTGAATATTTTACGTTTCAATTTTAGCTCATAAAGTGAAGATTTTATTTTTAAAATTCTTATAATTTCAAGGTTTCATATGTAGTTTGGTTGTTGAATCAGAAGCAAGGAATCTTAAGATAAAAAGTTATTGCCTTAAGACATATGGCACAATTAATCATGCCTATGTCTTCTCTAGTGCTTTGTGTATTTATTCCCAGTTTATTCTGCCCAAATCCTGCTTCAAGACTTATTAGGATTATATAAAAATGGTAAAACCTCAATACATAATTTGGGTTTTTGAATAAAAGTGATTTATTCTATTTTTTAAATCAAGAATCTCACCACATTTTTTTCATTAAAATAGCACTAAGTTACATATACTAATAGTAAGCATAACCATTACATATTAATTCTATATGTATTGTATAGCATGACTTCTGTCATTGCTGATTTTTCGAAACTATCCTTTTCTTTAATCCTTGCCTTATTTCATACTCTGTGGTTATTAATACTGGTAGATGTTACCATAAAATTGAAGCAATGAGCCATCATATTAATATTAAATTTCTTTAAATTGCTTAAGTATGGGATTAATGATATCATCATGGAATGTGATTACTTGCCATTTTTTAATGATGGTTTTGAAGCTAGCCTGATGTCCTAAAGGATAGTAAACAATATAAAACACGTTGATTAAATAAAAATATATCAGTTGATTCTTTATTCTGTAAGTCATTAAATGGTCATTCATGTATGTATTCAAACTTATTAATTAAAAAATTATATAGCTCAGTTGGTTATAGCACAGCCTTGTAACACCAAGATCAAGGATTCGGATCCCTGTACTGGCCAGCCACCAAAAAAAAAAAAATATATATTACGTTAGTATTAGCTATGTCTTAGGTAATATGCTATAGGGATCCACAATGAATAAAACATGGCCCTTGATGTCATGAAACCAGTACAAATTAGAATCCAAATATAGAATGGGCTTAATAAAGTTTTTATATATGGCCAATCAAAAAACATCAATTGCAAGGGATCGAAATTTTAAATGTCTAATAGGAACAAGCTAATGAAGAATAAAAAGGGCTCTGGGTATTCAAAAAAAAAATCACACAACCTTTCTAGGCTCCTATTTTCCCACTTTTGACAGAGATATGGATAGTGAGGAATATTTCTTTCCTATGAGAAATGCAACAGCAAAATGATAATTAGCAATGCAAACCTAGCTTCAAGTGTCAGGAAGAAAAGAAGAGGTGGTGGAGGCTGTGGCTTGCCTGAAAGCACATGCAAGCACCTACAGAGGTCAATGCCAGGTGACTGTAAACCTGGAGGAATTTCATCTCAGTGTTGCTAGATATTCCAATTATTCTTTTTTCTTTTTCCCTCTTTTTTTTTTTTGACATTTTTTGGGTTTTTTTTCTCTTTTTCCAATTATTTTTTAAAAGAATTTTGAAACTTGAATTTTTAGGTAACAACTCCAGATTTCACAGTGTTGACTTGGATTTGAAAATGAACACGCAGACTGTAAGTTCTCCAAAGGTAACGATTTGGCAGATCAGATTGGGCCTGTGATTTCCAACCACTTTGCAACTTTCCTGAATCTTTCTGTTCAGAAATTCTGTAAGGTGATTTACTCAACTATAAAACAAGATGCTGTTGAAGAATTTACCAAATTGGAATCGGTACAGACTTTAAAAGACCTATATGTGAAGAAAGAATTCTCGAGATTTATTAGATTGGTGGTTTTACAGGTAAATGTTCTTGACAACAAGCCATCTTTGTTAGTTCATGTTTTAATATTTTTAAGAAAAATGTATAGTTCTACAATTTGCATAATACAATAGTGTTAGAATAAACATGGTTTGTACTCAATAAGAGCAATATTTTGCATTTGATAGTACCTAATATTCTTCCCCCCAATTTTTTTTTCTAACACCCAATACCATGTGCAGTTGTGTTAGTCGTGCACTGTATAACTTCAAAAGATGCAATTCACATAGACTATGATATAAGCGGTCTCCTTAGAATCACGTGTAACTTTTTAAAATTTATGTCAGACAGTGTCCCTGGTCTTCTCTAATTATCACAGAAGTCCCCTCGTATTCATGGAATAGATGTGGCCAATGTTTACAAATTTTATTTAATAGGTATAGATTTATATCTGCTGGAGCTGGGATAGACTCTGCTTTCTCGTCTGTGGACATTGGAACTTAAGACTCTTCACATTTTGGGTTCTGGGACTTACACCAAGGGTGCTACCGGCTTCCCTGGTTCTGAGGCCTTCAGATTTGGACTGAGTCACATTACTGTCATCCAGTTTGCGGACAGCCTATTGTGGGACTCCTCTTCACAATCCCTTGAGCTAATTCTCCCAATAAATCCCTCTCATATATTTATATACATATCCTATTGGTTCTGTCTCTCTGGAGAACCCTGCCTAATACAGGTACACTCCAAAGAAATTTAACAATTTGCCTTATGTCCCACATAATTACTGATGAAACCAGGCAAGAATGTAAATCAACTAAATCTTTACCCAGAGTCCTTAACAAGGCATGAAAAATAAACTGCTTTTTCACTTCATAGTTTGAAAAGCACTTTCACAGATATTTTCTCATTGTCAGTGAAATCTCAGTGTAAGATCATGGGGAGTTGGGGACAGAATGATTCCTCATCTGTGTTTTATTGGTTCTCCAAATACGCATTTATTTGTTGTTTTACTACAACTTATTTGTCAATTCAAGAATATAATTTCCATCATTTTCAACAAAGCTATTATAATTTCCTAGTATTATCACCTTCTCTTGAGGCTCGATCACCTAATCCATTCTTTTCCCCTGTATTACCAGGGCCTATTTCACCTCTAAATGTTGGCCTTTAAAATACACACACACACACACACACACACACACACACACACACACACACATATTCACTTTATTTTAATCTTTGTTCATTTCATATTGTACTGTTAATACTTCTCATTTATGCTTTCTAATTGCCCTCCTTATTTTGACATTCCACTTGTATCTTTCTACAATTTTTTAAATATACCCCCTGTGTTCCCTATAAACCTGCACTATCTAATCTAGTAGCCACTAGGCACAAGTATCTATTTAAATTTAAATTAATTAAAATAAAAAATTCAGGTCTTCTGTTATACCAGATACATTCAACTACTTAATAACAACATGTGGCTAGTGGTTGCTGAATACAGTGCAGATATAGAAAATTTTTATTATCACAGGAAGGTCTATTGGACACTAGTACAGACTAGTCATCTGTTTTTTCTCAAACTCATGTTCTTTTTTCTCCTTGAATTTTTCTCAGCCTTCATAAAGGTAGTTTTATCCAAATATTGTTATTTTATATATTTAAAGCATGATTCTAGATTATAATGATGCTGCATCTTTTGATGCTGTATAGTGATTTTAGTTACAATGATTTAAATCATCTCCCTAACAAGGAACAGTATTAGCCCAATCAAATAAACACTGTATTAACATATTTTTTATATTTTTTCCCAATCCATTTCACATTCCTCACTTCTTTATCCATTAGTCCGAAGAGTAGGCCTATTTAAACACTAGTAATGATTTCTTCATTTGTACAACATACTGGCAATTTTAATCATTAAAAGGAGAAATAAAAATACCACCTCTGCAAAAGATGGTCTTATCTTGAGCAACTATTAAAAGCAGTAAATATGCTAGATTAACTTATAAACAGAAGGCTAGAACATTTGAATCTAATGAGAATGAGTGAAAAAATTTGTTTTGCGCTTAATTTTTAATTGCTCAGTGACAGCTGAGACTGTGACCTTTTCATGAACTTATCAATACAGGATTGAGGAATATCCATACTACTCAAATCTCATTGAGATTCAGTAAACTGCTTTTAAATAT